TCTGAAACACAATAGTTTTATACTATAAATATATTATAATTACATTCAATAACAAGGCAGAAGTGAGCACAGCTCACATACCCCCGCTTATAGTCTGATCGCCTTCAATACCATTATTGAATACCAAAATAATATTTTTGGAAAACTTTCAATTTTGGCATCATGCAATTGAAAGCCAAAATCCACAATGGCACCATAAGGGTAAGTTCCATGCCAAATTTGTAGTTTGTAAGTGGTACACTTTTTTGAGTTATGCTCAGAGAAACCATTCCGGACGCACGGACACACGGGCGGACGGGCGGAGCGCTGTATACCAGCGACTATGTCGTAGCGGGGGTATAATAATGCAGCCATTCTTATTTCATACATGAATTCGGCTTTCAGATAAAACCAGCTCTCTCACTGCCAATGTATGAGTTTGAAATCGTGTCTTATTGTTATTGTTTAGATTTTCAATAAATAAATCAAACAGCACCTATTATACTTAAAATATGTCTATTACTGTAAACTAAATGTTACTGTATAGACTACACTGTAATGTCAATGTATGTTGTCAACTTACCGCTGATTCGAATCCATGTTGGCTGTTAATAACAGCCTGACTGCCTCTATTTCCACTTTTGAGTGACATGAATTAAAAAATTAGGATTCTATCATTAGCGGAAATTTTGTTTTTGATCATGTTATTTTTTCAACGTTACCAGAGGCTTGAATTTGTGTTTAATTCTCTATTATGGTCCCTAAAAAAAGTTCCAGCTTGTAAAATATATATTTAATTCTGGGGCTGCCCCGCCCCCCAGTTCCTACGCCTATGATTTGACAAGACGGAGTTTGTACAGAGTTGACCGTGACGACACTATTGTTCATCGAGGTGGTTATATATATTTATCTCCATGTAAACTGAAGTCTCTGTGTATATAACCCATGGCACTGGTGTTTTATAGCTGGAATATTGCTGGGTGCGACGTTAAAAACAAACAAAAACAAACTGTTTTTATTGGCAGCTCCTGGTCGGTTAAATAAAAGAGATAATGTAAGGGAGACAACTCTACTATGTGCCGTATGAGATTCAAGGCAGCGTTGATAAAATGCTTAGCGTTTTCTATAATCACCACACAAAACCCTAACGTTTCCATACAATTTTTACGTTATGTAACATATCATGTAATTCAGTAGTGAGTGAGTGAGTGAGTGAGTGAGTGAGTAAGTGAGTGAGTGAGTTAGGTTTTACACCGCTTTTAGCAATATTCCAGCAATATCACGGCGGGGGGACACCAGAAATGGGAAGAGAAGAAGAAGAAGAAGAAGAAGAAGAAGAAAATTGTGTATTAATGTGTCCACAGTTGTACATCATAAAAGGCATCATATAATACAGGCATAAAATTGAGTACAACATCCGGCCTATGGTACAACACTACAGCCTATGCGACACTATATTGCATTTAGAGATAAGGGTTAAAATAAATAATAAATTACTAAGAGCTATTAAAATAGTGTAATATTACTGGGAATTCGAAATTGGTCCCCGACGATAGCAGGACAACAGAGTAAAGTTAAATAGTGAAGAGGTAGATGAATTTGTGAGTTGACGACGCCTAAACATGCGTAGGAGTAAAGCGGTTACTTGTTTAATGCACTGGCTATCTTGCATAATGAGAGTGACCTGGTCAACAGGGGTGTACTGGGTAAAGGAAGAGTATACTGCCGACACAGCGCTCCAGTCGTATCTGATATCCGAATAAAAACTATAACATGCCAAGAAATGAATTTCATCCTCGACTTCATTACTGTAGTTACATTTACTGCAAATGCGTTCTTCCAAAGGGGTCCTAGGCCGTTTAAATCTGCCTAGTTCAACCTGTACAGGAAATGTACCACAACGGAAATTTGCAAATATACTACGTTGCGATCTGTCAAAATAGTGTTGACGTAGCTCTGTAAAAAGATATTGCTTAAATAGACGAAATGTGCGTAATTTGTTACCATTCACTTGTCCCCTGTCATTCCACAGCTCTGAGAGCCATTCCCTATAGTCTAACGTTAAGAGCCATGTGAGTGTGTGAGTGAGTGAGTAAGGTTTTACACCGCTTTAAGTAATATTCCAGCAATATCACGGCGGGAGACACCAGAAATGGGCTTCACACACGAACGAACCCATGTAGGGAATTTAACCCGGGTCTTCGGCGTGACGAGCGAACGCTTTAACCACTAGGCTACCCCAACGCCCCAAAATGTACATGTACCCGAAGCAGATATAAAGTCACAAATTTGGGCTACCTTAGCTTGTGCCTTTAACAGGTTTTACAAAACTAAATTAGATTCCGCAGTTTACAAGCACTTTTCAGTGCAGACTGAATCATCTGACAGCTGTGATTGGGTGAATTTGTGTTAGATTTTCGTGTTTTTACAATGTACATCCGACCTGTAATTAAAACTGAAAACATTTTTCAATACTTAGTGCTCTCGTTTTAAACACGATGACTTATACTGAATGTGTGCACAGATATTTTCAAGTAGGTGACATTTGCTGCGGAACCGGGGTTGGGGTTTTCAGCTTCCTGTACTCGAAATATGAATTTTTAACCTAGCAAAAGGTTGCGATTTTATTGCAGCTTCAATGGCATCATGTGCATATCTGTATATGAAATAGCTGTTAACTGCCTGGTTATTTTTGAAGAAAATATAATGTTACTTTGGAAGTCTGTGGGAAAACATTGGTTTTGTGTAGAGCGTACAAGAATCTATCCACACCAGACACAGGCCCGCACCAAATGTCATCTACCAAATCTCTGGTCACTGTCGTAATGTTACAAAGGCAGCCTTGAATATTGACTAACATGGACGATTTTGATTACTGGATGGACATGCTGTAAAAATACATCTGACGCAATGTTATTCAGTTGCAGATTACTCAATTTAAACTCAAACGCCTGGCCTTACAACTGGTTCTGATTTAGTGTAGAAGAAGTTCATGTCAACACTCTAAGAATGAGACACAATGCATATTTTCTCACCGAGTCATTTTACAGGAGTAATGTTCACGTTAATGAGACAAGTAAATAGTGATTGACGTCGATCTACCCAATTTGGATACAATGACATGTGTCAGTCAAGTCAGCGAGCCTGACCACCCTGTCCCGTTAGTCGCCTCGTACAACGAGCATAGGTTGCTGAAGATAAATTCTAACCCGATCTTCACGAGTCTGTACAATCAAGTTGGGGATGACGCCCTTTTGGAAATATCAGGAATAGTAGATTATGTTAAGTTCTGTAAAATTTCAGAAGAAGGTCATACATTCGATCATAGGAGAAAGTGGTGTGTCCTTACTTCTTCAGCAAGACAACGACCGTAATGACACATCAGCGGTCACCAATCGGTGGCTTCGAGGCCATGAAATACAAGTGATCGGTTTTAATGCCGCTTCACCAGACCTCCACCCGACCGAGAATGTTTGACAGGCCATGGAGGACAGTGTGGTAAAGCTGGAGCTAGAAAACATAAATGCATGACAACGAGTGACGAGTGACCCAAGGAACTGAAAGACGAGGGTAGGACAAAATTCAAACCGGACAAAATCCCACAGGACAAAATGTCTGCACACTGAGGACAAAATCCCAGCAGTGTGAAAAATGACATAGATCTACACTTTATTTTGAAATAGATATTTTTATTTTTCCTCATAAAAAAGCATTATTTACAAAATGCACATAAGCATAATAACATGATTCATCTCATAGTAACTCTCATTCAACTCCTGACAGTTTGTCAGAATGTCAATCTTTCCCTTTTTTCTGTCAATGCACAAGTTCTGGAGGCGCTTAGCTGTCTGGATCCGGAATTTCTTCTGCCAGTCTAAGTAAACTTAGGCTCAGTATTATTCGTTACACTGCTATGCTGAGTCTAACAAACCCTAGTAGAAGGTCGCGTCAGCTAACCTTTTGAAATGACCAATCAGAACACAGCTTACCAAATCGCGAAAGTGAAAACTCGCACATACCGTTTGAACTTTTACCTAGAAAACACGAACGATTCCGAATGTTATTTTCGCTTCCGAGCGAGTAAACAGTCGCTGAAAAAATCCTGGTTCCCGGGACTCTCATTAGTTTATAAACTAATTCTCATTAGTTTATAAACTAAACTAATGTTTATAAACTAATGAGAGGCCCGGGAACCAGATGTCGCTGAAAATAGCGTTTTTGTCAGTATTCCAGGATGTCATCCTGCGGAAATATAAGCTAATAGTAACCATGTCATCAGAAACCCCTTAACGTATATACTGCAGGTCCAATATCTGTATTTTATGCGGATTTTTGTTTGTTGAGAGATTAGTGGCAGCGACCGGGAAAGAGAAAATCCAAAAGCCGTGTTGTAAGTCCCGCCGAACCCTAAATAGTAGCCGTTGACTGATTGGTTAAATCCGTTCGACCGTTACGCGTTTCATTGGACGGTCATAGGTCGCTCAAAGGTTAGCTGACGCGACCTTCTACTAGGGTTTGTTAGACTCAGTATAGCAGTACTAATACTGAGCCTAAGTTTGCTTAGACTGTTCTTCTGCCTCTTTGATAGTCTCTCCCCCCTGGAATGTTGCACCAGCATTGTCTCGACAAATTGCAGCATCTATCTGGAATCACTGAATTAGCTCACTGGCCTTTGTCACGAAAACATGCTAATAATCTTATCCCACTGGCCTCTGTCATGAAAACATGGGATTAAAAATGGGATTTTGTCCTATATTGTTATTTTGGTGTGGGATTTTGTCCAAAGAAATTTTGTTCTATGGGATTTTCTCTGGGTGGGATTTTGTCCGATTGGGATTTTGTCCGTCCCCCTAATTGACAGGCTTGACGTTTCATTGGCCGGGCTGATAGAGCAGTGTCACGTGTCTTGGTGACATCACTGACTATTGACTTTCCCGAGGTTGTATTACCTTAATGTGTGATCAGAACGTCTGTGTATGGTAAAGACTCGTAAAAATACCAGTTTTTGACTCATTATGATACCTCTTCTACGTCACCAAGATAAGACAAAGGAACATGTGTCAAAAGGTCAGGAGTAAATGACAAGATAACGCTATGTCGTATGACACATCACCGAGCCAGGACGTCTAGTTCCTTTGTCTATACTTCCCGTGGTTATGGATGTAAGTAGACCTTTTCCCTTCTCATCGGGGCTAATGTATCATCTGTTGTACAGATAACAAGGGCTGATGTTATTTGGGTTTAGGATGTAAGTATTGCACAGATAACAAGGGCTGATGTTATTTGGGTTACCGATGTGAGTATTGCACAGATGACATAGCTGATGTTCTTTGGGTTACCGATGTGAGTATTGCACAGATAACAAGGGCTGATGTTATTTGGGTTACGGATGTGAGTGTTGCACAGATAACAAGGGCTGATGTTTTGTGGGTTACGGATGTGAGTATTGCACAGATAACAAGGGGCGATGTTATTTGAGTAACCGATGTGAGTATTGCACAGATAGCAAGGGCTGATGTTATTTGGGTTACCGATGTTGTTGCACAGATAACAAGGGTTGATGTTATTTGGGTTACCACAGATAACAAGGGCTGATGTTATTAGGTTACCGATGTGAGTATTGCACAGATAACAAGGGCTGATGTTATTTGGGTTACGGATGTGAGTATTGCACAGATAACAAGGGCTGATGTTATTTGGGTTACGGATGTGAGTATTGCACAGATAACAAGGGCTGATGTTATTTGGGTTACCGATGTGAGTATTGCACAGATAATCAAGGGCTGATGTAACTTGATGTATCATTATTTGATGTTACGGATGATGTAACAAGGGGTTGATGTTATTTGGGTTACCGATGTGAGTATTGCACAGATAACAAGGGCTGATGTTATTTGGGTTACGGATGTGAGTATTGCACAGATAACAAGGGCTGATGTTATTTGGGTTACGGATGTGAGTATTGCACAGATAACAAGGGCTGATGTTATTTGGGTTACGGATGTGGATATTGCACAGATAACAAGGGCTGATGTTATTTGGGTTACGGATGTAAGTATTGCACAGATAACAAGGGCTGATGTTATTTGGGTTACGGATGTGATGTATATCATATACAGATAACAAGGGCTGATGTTATTTGGGTTACGGATGTGAGTATTGCACAGATAACAAGGGCTGATGTTATTTGGGTTACGGATGTGAGCATTGCAAACAAGGGCTGATGTTATCTTAATTACGGATGAGAACTGCACAGATAACAAGGGTTGATGTCGGCTGATGTTATTTGGGTTACGGATGTGAGTATTGCACAGATAACAAGGGCTGATGTACCGATGTTTTGGGTTACGGATGTGAGAATTGCACAGATAACAAGGGCTGATGTTATTTGGGTTACGGATGTGAGTATTGCACAGATAACAAGGGCTGATGTTATTTGGGTTACGGATGTGAGTATTGCACAGATAACAAGGGCTGATGTTATTTGGGTTACCGATGTAAGTATTGCACAGATAACAAGGGCTGATGTTATTTGGGTTACGGATGTGAGAATTGCACAGATAACAAGGGCTGATGTTATTTGGGTTACCGATGTGAGTATTGCACAGATAACAAGGGCTGATGTTATTTGGGTTACGGATGTGAGTATTACACAGATAACAAGGGCTGATGTTATTTGTTACCGGATGATGAAGCATTGCACAGATAACCATGGCTGATGTTATTTGTGTTACGGATGTGATTATTGCACAGATAACAAGGGCTGATGTTATTTGGTTACGGATGTGAGCATTGCACAGATAACAAGGGCTGATGTTATTTGGTTACTGGATGTGAAGAATTGCACAGATAACAAGGGCTGATGTTATTTGGGTTACGGATGTTATCTTGATATACTAGATATTGCACAGATAACAAGGGCTGATGTTATTTGGGTTACCGATGTGAGAATTGCAGAGATAACAAGGGCTGATGTTATTTGGGTTACGGATGTTTCCATAGATAACAAGGGCTGATGTTATTTGGGTTACCGATGTGAGAATTGCACAGATAACAAGGGCTGATGTTATTTGGGTTACGGATGTATCCATTGATAACAAGGGCTGATGTTATTTGGGTTACCGATGTGAGTATTGCACAGATAACAAGGGCTGATGTTATTTGGGTTACCGATGTAAGTATTGCACAGATAACAAGGGCTGATGTTATTTGGGTTACCGATGTAAGTATTGCACAGATAACAAGGGCTGATGTTATTTGGGTTACGGATGTGTGGATATTACACAGATAACAAGGGATGATGTAACTTGGGTTACGGATGTAAGTATTACACAGATAACAAGGGCTGATGTTATTTGTGTTACGGATGTGAGTATTACACAGATAACAAGGGCTGATGTAACTTGTGTTACGGATGTGAGTATTACACAGATAACAAGGGCTGATGTAACTTGTGTTACGGATGTGTGTATTACACAGATAACAAGGGCTGATGTAACCTGTGCTACGGATGTGAGTAATTGCATACAGGGCTGATGGGCTGGTTATATTAATGTGAGTACACAGATAATAAAGGGATGATATAACTTGTGTTACGGATGTGAATATTACACAGATAACAAGGGCTGATGTAACTTGTGTTACGGATGTGAGTATTACACAGATAACAAGGGCTGATGTAACTTGTGTTACGGATGTGAGGATATTACACAGATAACAAGGGATGATGTAACTTGTTACCAGATGTGCATTGCACAGATAACAAGGGCCGATGTAATTTGTGTTACGGATGTGAATATTACATAACAAGGGCCGATGTAACTTTTGTTACGGATGTGAGTATTACACCAGATAACAAGGGGATGATGTGTAACTTGTATTACGGATGTGGAGTATTACACAGATAACAAGGGCCGATGTAACTTATTTACCACGGATGTGAGTATTGCATAGATAACAAGGGCTGATGTATTTAATGTTACGGATGTTACGGATGAATAACTGTATGGATGGCCAGTAGTATTACACATGTGATAACAAGGGCCGATGTAACTTGTGTGGATATTACATAGATAACAAGGGCCGACGTAGCATTACGGATAGATAACAAGGGCCGATGTAACTTGTGTTATGGATGTGAGTATTACATAGATAACAAGGGCCGATGTAACTTGTGTTACGGATGTGAATATTACACAGATAACAAGGGATGATGTAACTTGTGTTACGGATGTGAATATTACACAGATAACAAGGGCCGATGTAACTTGTGTTACGGATGTGAGTATTACACAGATAACAAGGGCTGATGTAACTTGTGTTACGGATGTGAATATTACACAGATAACAAGGGCTGATGTATCTTGTGTTACGGATGTGAGTATTACACAGATAACAAGGGCCGATGTATCTTGTGTTACGGATGTGAATATTACACAGATAACAAGGGCCGATGTAACTTGTGTTACGGATGTGAATATTACACAGATAACAAGGGCTGATGTAACTTGTGTTACGGATGTGAGTATTACACAGATAACAAGGGCCGATGTAACTTGTGTCATGGATGTAAGTATTACACAGATAACAAGGGATGATGTAACTTGTGTTACGGATGTGAATATTACACAGATAACAAGGGCCGATGTATCTTGTGTTACGGATGTGAATGTTACACAGATAACAAGGGCTGATGTAGCTTGTGTTACGGATGTGAGTATTACACAGATAACAAGGGCCGATGTAGCTTGTGTTACGGATGTGAATATTACACAGATAACAAGGGCTGATATTCATGGTACATATGTGAACATTGCACTTGTGCTATGGTAACTGATATTATTATTGTTATCATTAAACACAAGTAAAACTTGATGTTACCTTGGTAACGGCATTACACATAGATAACACCTGGTAGCAATTTGGTTACTGATATATCCTACTCGTGTGTTTCACTGCATTTTTTGCTTGTTTGCCACGTTTTGAAGCATACTCCATGTTGTCAGACATTCACCGAGCTGAGGCTGTTCCAGTATCTCCCTTTATACCACATCATGTTCGGTTGCAGACACATCGGTGGCTTGTTTTGGCAATGTCTGCAGTGGGGCTTTGGACGTCCAGCAATGGGCAACCCGGAGGTAGGTTTTGAGTCGACATCTCAAGATATAAAATATTGTGTTTCTTGATTGACGCCACAATCAGCAATATTCTAGCTATATGACGGCGGTCTGTCAGTAGTCGTGTACTGTCTAGACAATCCAGTGATCAACAGCATGAGCATCGATCTACGCAATTGGGATACGATGACATGCATCGACCAAGTCAGCGAGTCTGACCACCTGATCCCGTTAGTCGCCTCTTACGATAAGCATGCGTTGCTGAAGATCAATTCTAACCCGGATCTTCACGGGTTCCATCAGGCTAAGTAAAATTATGCTCAGTTTTATTCGTTACACTGCTATACTGAGTCTAACAAACCCTAGTAGAAGGTCAGCTAACCTTTGAGCGACCTATGACCGTCCAGTCAAACGCGAGACGGCCGAACGGACCAGTTTACTTAGACTGGGGTTCCATGTAACTATGACGACTGGTCTAAGGCGTTTGTATATGGTTGTATAAATCTGAAATCAAAACAGTAATGAAGACTATCATGTGTTTTAGAACACAGAAATCAAATGAGTTCATGATGTTAAATAACATGTAGTTTGTACATACGATGATCTTTAATCTAAGCAAAACCTCAGTATAACGTAACTACTGTAGACTACGGTTATAACGATCTCGAAGGCACCAGACATTTTACTTCGGTATAACGGTAGTTCGATATACGCATTTCGACTAAAACATAGATCAAATGATCGGCACCAAAAGCACAGTTCGTTATATCCGTCAGTTCGTCATAAACGTGTTCGTTATAAACGTAGTTTGCTCTCTTTACTTTCATACCAAATGGGGCAATGAAACTGACATGGATCGAACTCACGCTAGGTCCTACTTAGAGGGTAGGACAAAATCCCACCAGGACAAAATCCCATAGGACAAAATCCCACCCAGACAAAAAATCTATCCCGACAAAATTCCACCCAGACAAAATCCCGCCCGGACAAAATCCCACCCGGACAAAATCCCACGCAGACAAAAATCATATCCGAAAAAATCCGGAAAAATCACACCCAGAGAAAATCCTAACCAGACAAAATCCTATCCGAAAAGAAAAATCCCATCCAGACAAAATCCTATCCGAAAAGAAAAATCCCATCCGGACAAAATCCTAACCAGACAAAATCCTATCCGAAAAGAAATATCCCACCCAGACAAAATCCTAACCAGACAAAATCCTATCCGAAAAGAAAAATCCCACCCAGACAAAATCCTATCCGAAAAGAAAAATCCCATCCAGACAAAATCCTAACCAGACAAAATCCTATCCGAAAAGAAAAATCCCACCCAGACAAAATCCTATCCGAAAAGAAAAATCCCATCCAGACAAAATCCTATCCGAAAAGAAAAATCCCATTAGGACAAAATCCTAACCAGACAAAAATCCTATCCAAAAAAGAAAAAATCCCACCCAGACAAACTCCTATCCGAAAAGAAAAATCCCATCCGGACAAAATCCTAACCAGACAAAAATCCTATCCGAAAAGAAAAATCCCACCAGGACAAAAATCCTATCCTAAAAAGAAAAATCCCACCCAGACAAAAAATCAAAAATCCCATCCAGACAAAAAATCCTAACCAGACAAAATCCCATCCGAAAAGAAAAATCCTATCCTCGACAAAAATCCTAACCAGACAAAATCCTATCCGACAAAATCCCACCCAGAGAAAATCCTTACAAAAAATCCCACCAGGACAAAATCCCATCAGGAGAAAATCTCCTATCGACAAAATCCCAGACAAAATCCCATAGGACCGGAAAAATCCCATGCAGACTAAATCCCACCAAGACAAAATCATATCCGAAAAATCCCACCCAAAAAATCCCATCCGAAAAGAAAAATCCCATCCGACACAAAATCCTAGACAGACAAAAATCCTATCCGAAAAGAAAAATCCCATCCAGACAAAATCCTATCTGAAAAGAAAAATCCCATCCGGACAAAATCCTAACCAGACAAAATCCTATCCGAAAAAAAACAATCACAGACAGAAAAATCCTAACCAGACAAAATCCTATCAAAATCCTATCCGAAAAAGAAAAATCCCACCCAGACAAAATCCCGCCCGCTCAAAATCCCACCAGAACAAAATCCCATCCGTACAAAATCCCCCGAGGACAAAATCCCACCCGGACAAAATCCCACAGGACAAAATTCCACCCGACAAAATCCCACCCGGACAAAATCCCACCCGGACAAAATTCTACTCAAACAAAATCCCATAGGACAAAATCGCACATGACAAAATGTCTGCACACTGGGTGACAAAATCCCAACAGTGTGAAAAATGACATACAATGTATTTTGAAATAGATGCTGTCATTTTTCCTCATAAATAAGCAGTATTCATCATAAGCACTAATAACATGATTCAACGCAGTCTCATAACATAATTCATCGTTCTGGTATATGTTCATGGTACATGTAATCATCTAAAGCATCATTCTAGAACATCATCATCTTTGTACATCTTAATTGATGTATGACTGGATGACAATGAGATGTAACAAGAACCGGATGCTCCATGGTCAACGATGTCTTCATGGACCCACGACAATATTTCTTGAACATTCCCACGTAATACTGCTCCTATTTGTAATCTTCTTAGTGTACAAAAATCCCTCTAATGCTATTTTAACTCCTTCCTTATTGCTCTTCAGTACTTCTAGTTTGGAACACTGATGAAGAGGGTCATCATCACAGACACATGTATACAATTTATCAATGGAGCGACCGCCTCCGTGGTGTAGTGGTTAGAGCGTCCGCCCGATCCCCGACCGCGTCATACCAAAAGACGTTAAAAAATGGTACTTGTTGGTCCCTGCCTGGCGCTCGGCATTAATGGGTACTGGTCGGCTTGGAGTCAGTATAATGTGTCTGAGTGGGGTATTCATGCTTCACTGCGGCATGGTATCTCAGTGAGCTAGCACTATAAAACCAGCTTCAGTCTGGGCTAGTACAAGCAGCCGCACATACACATACACACGCATGCACGTCGTCGTGTGAGTGAAATATTCTCAAGCACGACGTTAAACCCAATTTCACCTCACCTCACCTCTTAGTGTACAAAAATCCATCTGATGCTATTTTAACCCCTCCCTTATTGCTCTTCAGTACTTCCATTTTGGAACACTGATGAAAAGGGTCATCATCACAGACACATGTATACAATTTATCAATGGAGCGACTAGCCTCGGTTACGAAAACATGCTAATCGACTTATCTCACCGGCTTCTGTCATGACTGACTGACTGAGTTTGGTTTTACGCCGCTTTTACCAATATTCCAGCAATATCACGGCGGGGGACATCAGAAATGGGCTTCACACATTGTACCCATGTGGGGATTCGAACCCGAGTCTTCGGCGTAACGAGCCAACGCTTTAACCACTAGGCTACCCACCGCCCCGCTTCTGTCATGAAAACATGCTAATTAAATCTGGTGAAAAGGGAAGCAATAACATATAAAAATGGAATTTTGTCCTATGTTGATCATGTTGGTGTGGAATTTTGTCCAAAGAAATCCTATGGGATTTTGTCGGGGGGATGGGGGGGGGGATTTGTCCGTCCCCCCATACTTAGAACTTAGATTTAATGGCTATTGTGGTCCTTCATTTGTTGCCATTGTGTTGTATTATATATTTAACCTAACTACCTCCCGAAAATAGCGCTTCAGTGCCTCGACTGTGATGATGTTGTTAATCCAAGTATGTGTAGCCGCTCAACTGTTTGCCAGCTAACCGAGGTAAGTTGTACAGAGTTTAAGTGTAGTGAGTGAGTAAGTTCAGTTTTACGCCGCACTCAGCGATATTCCAGCTATATCTGTAAATAATCGAGTCTGGACCAGACAATCCAGTGATCAACAACATGAGCATCGATCTGCGCAATTGGGAACCGATGACATGTGTCAACCAAGTCAGCGAGCTTGACCACCCGATCCCGTTAGTCGCCTCTTACGACAAGCATGGGTTACTGACGATCAATATTCTAACCCTGACCTTCACGGGTGTTTTAAGTGTAACGTGTGTATGCTAAGAACGGTACCGCCGAAATTGGGATTATTTATACAACACTGGGAAATATACTCTGATGTTAATAGTTCATAACATGCGTGAGTGAGTGAGTGAGTGAGAGAGTTTTTACGCCGCTTTTAGCAATACTCCAGCAATGTCACGGCGGGGGACACCAGAAATGAGCTTCACACATTGTACCCCATGTGGGGAATCGAACCCGGGTCTTCGGCGTGACGAGCTAACGCTTTAACCACAAACCTATCCTACCGCCCCTTTCATAACATGAAGGCTATTGAAGTTAATTCAAAGGATCTGTCCAACATTAAGACGGGCGGTGGGGTAGTCCAGTGGGTAAAGCGTTGGCTCGTCACGCCGAAGACCCTGGTTCGATTCCCCACATGGGTACAATGTGTGAAGCCAATTTCTGGTGTCCCTCGCCGTGATATTATATCAAAAGCGACATAAAACCATACTCATTCACTCAGTTAACCTCAAATCATAGAGAAAGATATACATATTAATGTCCCAAGTGCCCGGCTAAAACAATTACGTCAAACATAAATTACTCTATAAAACAACCCATACTATTTTTATTGGAAAGGTTCTTTCATACTGTTTGTAAGATGAAGTTTTGGAGAATGCAGTATTTGATGGTGGTACCTTTCAACAATGTTTCTATTTGTTTGTTAGTTGGTTAACGGGGCGGTGGGGTAGCCTAGTGGGTAAAGCGTTCGCTTGTCACGCCGAAGACCCGGATTCGATTCCCTACATGGGTAAAATGTGTGAAGCCCATTTCTGGTGTCCCCCGCCGTGATATTGCTGGAATATTGCTAAAAGCCGCGTAAAACCCAACACCCTCACTCACTAGTTGTTTAACTCCGCACATAGCAAAATTACAGCTATACTACTCACACTTTGATAAGGATCACAAAAAATCACAACTTTACCTAAACGTAGATATATAGTTTGAAATTGTATGCATTTAAAACTGGATTAATAATAATATGATAACCCCTCTTTAGGCAGACAGCCACTTTATTCTAACCTTAAGCACTTAATACATGAGTAACCATAAAAATGGTTTAAATGGCACCAATCAACAATTTTGCAAATCATGGAACGAGTCATTGTCAAGTACACAACACGTGTCAATAGCAGGTATGGGATCCACAAGATGCAGTGACATACTGAAACCTAGGATCCATGCTTACAATAAGCTTAGATATTTAAACCAAATTTGACCCCACATCATAGTTTTCTGTTGAATCCATGATTTGATCCTTAGCAAAGTGTGAATAGTATATATGGCGGCGGTCTGTAAATAACCGAGTCTGGGCCAGACAATCCCGTGATCGATCTGCGCAATTGGGATACGATGACATGTGTCAACAAAGTCAGCGAGCCTGACCACCAGATCCCGTTAGTCGCCTCCTACGACAAGCATGGGTTTCTGATGGACGATTCTAACCCGGATCTTAACGGGTCAACAATGTTTTTAGTTTTCTTTACTATATTCAAAGAGAGGTCACAACACATGAGTTCACTTTTCTTTTAGGCTTTGTGCAGAAATTAACTTAACATGTACAATGTTTTCTAACATGGTGTGTTTCCATTCCACAGCTGTGCTTCACATACAAGTACAGGCACTCTAACATCACCAGATACAGGATGGGGTGCCAGGATAGCCTGGTAATCAGTCTATGGAAGTGTCAGGAGGATGTGATGTGGAGCTCAGGGGTTAACCTATACATATTATGTTAATCACGATACACATTCAAAAGGATACAACGTAATGTGATTGCTTAATACTCTACACATTAACCCATACATCCTCGATAATCTCCAGGGTATACGTTCCGATAAATCTCCACTATACCCTGGATGCATCTACGGCTCGAGCCGATGATTTTATTACCTCCTTTGGTTGGCTTGTTATCCAAATCAGGTGTCTACGCTGGGAAGTTGAGCGTACCAATCACAATTCACTTTCGCTTTCTAAATTATCTAACCTATTAAACTTGGCAACACAATAATATATTGTTGCAGAGGTACTCTAATAGAGGTAGAAGGAGTTCTTGCATATATATTTTTAAGGTTTCAGACCTGTCAATTTGTCTGTATGTTTTCCCCCCCCAAATCTGAGTCGCACTGCGAACAAACATTCACGGGTGCGACCGCTATCTTTGTTGACACTGGCAAGCTCGGTTGTAACGGCGGTTTATCTGATTGGCTACTGTGAGAATGCGGAGCCAGCAAAGGGAGGTAATAAAATAATGGAGCCGTAGATGCATCCAGGGTATAGTGGAGATTTATCGGAACGTATATCCTGGGGATTATCGAGGATGCAACCCAGTGGGCGTTCATACAACCTGCATTCTATAACTGTCACAAAACAGCATAGTATTCACAACGTATACACAAGCAGGGGTCCGGACAACCCCCATCAATACGTGTTACGGGTCTTTGCTCGTAATATGAGGTCCTGACAATTAATGTTGTCGTGTCGTGGCGTGTAGTGTGGTGTCGTTGAGCGTAGTGTAGTGCAGTCTGTCTCACAGTTCCCGAACCACATTATTTTCGCTACTGCCTTCAATGCTAAAGCCTTAAAGCTAAAGCCCAAGTCTAGATTTCCTCAGGTTGAGAACCTCGGGTCTCCCTGGGGCGCCTTTTTCAAATTAAATGGTTTTTTCTGTTACCATCCAAATCATATATATACTCAGTAACAAAAGTTTAGCGACACCCAAATATTGGCAACTGTAAACTCCAGAAATGTTAGTATGAAGTCAATAATGTCTGGGAAGAACTGGCATGTCACATCGCACAAACACACCAAATTGGGCTGTACAAAACGCTCGTGCATCCTGTGGGTTAACACTGCACGTGATTTAACGGAATATGGGTCCCACTTTAACTCAATCGTTAAAATCAGTATGAAAATAATTGCACACATCAGAACTGCTTACAGTCAGATAAAAAAACAACAACACCACATCACAAGGTTGTAACACAATGGGGCGTCACAGGGGAATGCCAGAAAATGCCATTGGAATGCTGAGAGCCGGGATGAGCTTACAACAGGTTGTCAGACATTTTCAGGTCCACCGTTGTACCATTACACGTCTCCAGTCACGCCAGGCACAAACTGGAACGGTGAAAGACCACCCACGCAGTGGCAGACGCCACGTGAAGATTGTTATCTTGTGACGTCATCACGTCGCAACAGATTTGCCAGTGCACCAGATCCTGCTCAAAGTCTTCGGCGGACTACAGGAACACGAGTGCATTCGCAGCTCGTCCGTAATCGTCTCCGTTCTGCTGGGCTCCGTGCCCGTCGTCTCCTCAAGGCTATACCGTTAACGCCACGTCATTTTCAAGAACGGTTAACATGGACGCGTGCCCATCAAAGATGGCGCCTTACTCAGTGGAAGGAAGTCCTTTTTAGTGACGAATTCGCGTTTCTGTCTGCAGTTTAGACTAACAACTAGCTATAGTCTCTGAAATGAAGATATTTTACAGAAAAAAAGCTTTTCGTGAAAAAATTAAATGTAATGAAAAGGAGCCCTGCGACTAGCTGTGGAAATCTAGAGTTGCCACATTTTTAGACTTGCGTGGGATTTCTTGGATGTATTTGGTTCAGGGTCTGTATGACATGCTATCTGCAGTTTAGAGATGGCAGAAATCGTGTATGGCGACGTCGAGGAGAACGTTTTCAACCTGGCAACGTCATGGAGCGTGACCGTTACGGGTGTCACGGAGGTGTCATGGTTTGGGGAGGGATCCTCTGGGACGGCAACACTGATCTGATTGTGATAAAACGGCACCCTGACAGCTCAGCCATATTGCCATCTGGTGATAACGCCGGTGGTCATACCCTTCCTTAGGCAACGTCCCGGACACTTTCCAACAGGACAATGCACGTCCACATACAGCTGGCCTGACTCAAAATCTGCTGCAGCACAACAACATTCACGTCTTAGCATGGCCAGCAAGGTCACCAGACCAAACGAACATGCCTGGGACATTCTCGGGAGAAGCTTGCGGAAGAACCATTCTAACATCCAGAATGGCAATGCCCTTCAGCTGGAATGGGGAGACATCACCCTTCATCAGGTTCGGCAGCTCGTCATAAGCTTGAGAAAAGGTTGTGTGGCGGTACAGCAAGCTGAGGGCCGACACACTCGATACTGACCTCTTCTTGTGTCGTTTTCACTGCGCTTTTATTGATTTCAAAATAGCCTTTGATCTGGTAGATAGGGACAAACTGCTTTACTCGCTTTTAATACATGTATGTCATGGTAAAATATATAACGTACTGGCTAATATGTATATGTCAGTCAAAGCATGTGTGAAGGTTGACAACGGGAAAACTGACTCCTTCCTGACAAGTTCTGGAGTGCGCGAAGGATGTATGCTTTTATTTACTGTTTTCATCAATGAATTAGCCACTGAAATCTACCAGACCTGCAAACACGGAGTCTTTGTTTCTCAGGACATCGAGGATATTAAGATGCTGTTATTTGCTGATGACGTCAACATGTTTTCTTACACGGTTATAGGTTTGCAACAACAACTAGACGTATTATACCAGTACTGCAAGTCTTGGGGACTCTGTGTCAATATGGATAAAACAAGAATAATCGTTTTTCGTAATGGTGGAATTATACGCAAGAAGGAGGAGTGGTTCTATGCGGGTGAACAATTGAAGTGTACAACATACTACAAGTATCTTGGTCTACTATTCTCATCTAGGCTAAAATGGTCAGCTGCATGTAGCAATCTCGCATCACAGGCATCGAAAGCATTAAGGCCAGTATACCAGCTATTTAAACGTAACCAAGCAATGACGTTCTCTACAGCAATGACTATCTTCGACTGCAAGATTTTACCAATCCTTCTTTATGGCTCCGAGATATGGGGAACATTATACAATGAAACAATTGAAAAGGTCCATACCTCTTTCCTTAAACGATTTATATCTGTTGGGAAATTTGCATCAAACAAAGCAATATTGGGTGAAACAGGTCGCTGCAGTGTGTTTGTGTATACCAGAATGAGAGTAATCAAATACTGGTTGAAACTACTACGAATAGACTCCTCTAGATATCCAAGGCAGAGCTATCTTCTTCTCAAATCTTTAGACGATAATGGAAGACATAACTGGGTGTCAGAGGTTAGATCTCTGCTCTTTTCAACAGGTTTCGCATGGACTTGGTTCTCACAACAAGTTGGTGACGAGAAGTTATTTATCAGCACTTTCAAACAAAGGTTACAGGATATCTTTATCCAGGATTGGCATTTGTCTATTTCTACCTCAAGTTATCTGTCATTATACTCTGGATATAAAACTGATTTTAACACAGAAACATATATTACTTGTCCTCCAAGACAAGTCTTTGGTACGTGCATTCTGTAAATTCAGAATAGCATTGAACAATCTGAAGGTAAATGCATACAGGAAGGAGAAACAACAGTACGACTATACCATCTGCTGTGAACATTGCATGGATCTCAACATCGAAGATGAAGTTCACATACTATTTTCCTGTCCAAAATATTCTGCACTTCGAATGAAATATTTACCTTGGTTAACTTCTGTTGTGCCAAACAAATGTAACTTCATCAAACTTATTTCTTCACAAAATCCTCAAACAATCAAATTACTATCATTATATTTGAAGCATGTATTTAATGCACGCCGTTCTTAATTATAAGTTTTGTTTATCCACGTGACAAAATATAATATTCTGCTGTAATTGTACCTTAGGTCATAAGGCCTGTAGTATTGAATAAACTAGTCTGAGTCTGAGTCTGAGTCTTCTTGTTTGTGTGTGTGAATTTCACTGACCCATCTCTCACTTTGTAGTGCCTTTGCTTTCCATTTTGTAATGACGTCACAACTGTTTGTTTCAGTTTTGTAATCGAAAATGTTCAAAGTAAAGTTTCAAACGATGCAGTGATTCTTATCCTCATTTCTTTCTGTTTATTGGACTGTTTCATTGGGTGTTGCAAAACTTTGTTACTGAGTATATAAGCGTTAGTCTAGTGAGTGAGTGAGTGAGTTATTATTTAACGTCACATCGGCAATATTGCAGCCATATCGTGACGAGGACATTTGACATGGAAATAGAATATATATAGATATTCTAAGTGTAGTGGTATGTAGTGTAGTGCATGGTATGGCGATTTTCCTCTTACACAGAAAAAACAAACTTGACAAGATTGTAAACATATCCAGCAAACTTTGCGGCTTCAATTTCGACCCTCTATCATTTAAGTATGAGTCAAAAGTTAAAAAGAAAGCGCTGGCCATTCAATCGGACCATCACACTTTTTAAAGGAATGTTATGAATTTCTGCCTTCTGGTCGCCGCTTCAAAATCATGCATTACAAAACTTCAAAGTCATTTGTCCCATACAGCATAGAACTTCTTAGTCTTCCTCCAAAATTGTAATAGTGAAATCAATGATGTGGCACGAGTGATTATTATATTATGTACTTTGGTTATGATTCACCATTATATTGTGATTAGCTTGACATTGTGAACATAGCTGTATGGTCCCAGGAGTTCAGATTGATTATACGATGTTCTGTTTGAGATTGCCATCCAATGATCGAGGGAAAAACAAAGCGTCTTTAAGCAGCTGAGCTAGATATTGGCGTTGTACAAATATTAGCATATAGCATAATAATAATAATTATGTATACTTTAAATTATTTGTTGTTATATGCATTGTATTGGCTCTTTGAATGCAAGAGGGGCGGTGGGTAGTCTAGTGGTTAAAGCGTTGGCTCGTCACGCCGAAGACCCGGGTTCGAATCCCCACATGGGTACAATGAGTGAAGCCCATTTCTGGTGTCCCCCGCCGTGATATTGCTGGAATATTGCTAAAAGCGGCGTAAAACCAAACTCAGTCAGTCAGTCTTTGAATGCAAGACAAATTTCCCTTGCGCGACAATATCTTAAAAGATACAGCAAGCGGTCGGGACAAACAGAACCAGTTGGTTATAAACGTACTCGTGATAAACGTAGTTCACTGTTTAATATGTTCAATATTGTCGCTTGTCTCCAGGTATGCGATGTGGTACCAGTCCGACCAGATATCGTTGGTAGAAGGCGGACAGCCGCACATCTCTGGAAACGGAACAACATGAAAGTAGAAAGTATTTGTTTCGATTGTTGCCATAGCAACAACTGCAATCGGGTTATGTGTCAGAGGCAGGGTGTGACACAAACATCAGCATCCACAACGACATCTACTGCGACTACGACACCTTCTTCCACTGTGACATCTACACCCACGACACCCTCCACGCCGCCACGCCACGCCCACGCCGCCCGCTTCCACATCAACTTTAACCCCATCTCGCCCCCCGACGACTTCTACATCAAATACAGGTAATGTATCCACAAAATATAGAGCTAATATGCATTACCATGTATATAATTTGAATTACCCGATTCCGTGAAGATCTGGGTTAGAATTGATCTTCAGCAACAAATGTTTGTCGTAAGAGGCGACTAACAGGATCGGTTGGCCAGGCTTGCTGACTCGATCGGTTGACACATGTCACTGTATGTATCCCAATTGTGTAGATCGATACTCATGATGTTGATCACTGGATTGTGTGGACCAGATTTGAATATTTATAGACCCCCACCAAAAAGCTGGAATATTACTGAGAAAAATAAATAACAAACAAACATCGAATTACCTGAATACAGAATGACTTTTTGAAAGTGGAGAAATATGATAAAAGCATGGTGTATTCATACTGAAGTCATCAGTATTGATTCTACCGAGTGTAAGACATTTCCCCATCAGGACAATTCCCCACTAGGACAATTCCCCACATGACATTTCCCCATCAGGACAATTCCCCACATGACATTTCCCCATCTTGACATTTCCCCACTCCTGTTTTGTAACCAGTAGGACAATTCCCTACACCCATCACAAATAATGAACAAACACAAGCTGAGATTGTATATATTTTGTATTAATATAGGGACTGGACGTGTTTTTCACAGCTCGGCTGCAGTGATCTAAATGCGGATAAAATCAACAGATACATATCAACTAATGCTGAATGCGCTTGTGGATACCACAATGAAAATGTTATTCATTATCTCTTTACATGTAAATTATATACTGCCATCAGAAATAATGCATACTTTTATGTAAGTGGTCACAGCCTCCAAACTGTGTTATACGGAACACCGCCAACTACCAACAAAGAAAATAAGGAGATTATAGAGTCTCTCCACCAGGAGATTATAGAGTCTCTCCACCAATTCATTTGCAAGACTAAACGTTTCGATAAAACGGTCTAAAGGAAATAACAAATAACAATTATCTTAACAAAAAGTATTGAAACGTAACTGCGAGCGCGTTGTTAATTACAATTCTCAATGCACATACGTTGTTCCGATTTTAGATTTTCATTTTGTCTATTTCATTCTGTCTTTTGTCTAGTTCTTGAGTGTTCAGTTTGTGTTATATTTGTACTGGTGAGGTATTCACAAAAGCAAAGCTTTGCTTGTTTACCAAACCAGATTCTTTCAAGAATAAAAATATGTTTAAACCAAACCTTATGTATTGTCAACAAAATATAATGTCAACTGAAGTCATCAGAGTGTATTCAACCTTGTGGATTGTCAACATTGTATAATAGCAACACAAATCATTAGACTCGATTCTACCTTGTGTATTGTCAACATTTTATAATAGCAACACAAATCATTAGACTCGATTCTACCTTGTGGATTGTCAACAATTTATAATAGCAACACAAATCATTAGACTCGATTCTACCCTTGTGGATTGTCAACAATGTGTAATGGCAGTTGAAGGCATTAGAGTTGAATCTACAATATACAATTAAAGTTATTCAGCTGATTTTTCCTTGTTGCAGTTTGTCCATCAGATTATGTCGGGTATATTGTCAACAATGTGTAATGGCAACTGAAGGCATTAGAGTTGAATGTACAATATATAATTGAAGTTATTCAGCTGATTTTTCCTTGTTGCAGTTTGTCCATCAGATTATGTCGGGTATATTGTCAACAATGTGTAATGGCAACTGAAGGCATTAGAGTTGAATGTACAATATATAATTGAAGTTATTCAGCTGATTTTTCCTTGTTGCAGTTTGTCCGTCAGATTATGTTGGCTTTGCGGGCAGCTGCTACAGGATCGTCTACAAGTCGTTGCAGTGGGAAAGGGCCAAGACGACATGTTCTCAGATGGGTTCACATCTCGTGTCAGTGAACAGCAAGCAGGAACAGCAGTTTCTGGCTAACCTCCTGAACACAGCAGGTTAAACAAGTTAAAGATATCCATTTAATTATTGGTCAAAATATTTCAACAAGGTCAAAGAGCACATAGCACATATTTTGAGCACATTCACATAATTGTTTGTCAATATTTTAAGAAGGTCAAGGAGCACATAGCACATATTTTGAGCGGGAGCAGGACAAAAGCCACCCGGACAAAAGCCACCCGGACAAATGCCACCTAGGACAAGAGCCACCCAGTTATTTTACCATTACTTAGAGGACAATTACCACCCTTCTTGACTTGGCATTTGTCCTAGACCCATATTTTGAGCACATTCACTTCATTCATTGCATATTTATTTATTCATACATTATTTTACATTTATTCATTTGTCATTTATGTTATTTGATCATAGCATAGTCCCTGTTCAGCCAGTTAACATCGAAGGGGATTAAGTGTTTATCAAAGATCAGGAGAACCAAGCTAAAGATGAGTAGAGGAAATTTAGTCCGTTTTTTGTCAGTTCTATGCCAGTTTACATAGCTAAAACAATCTTCTCCAACTCTCCTGCAATTGTTAACAAAGCTGTTCTATCAAAACATGATAACAAGGATTAAAGAACCGTTAATCTAAAGCTAAAGATGAGTAGGGGGGATTTTGTCCGTTTTAATGTTAAGGAAGGGGGGGATTATGTCCGGAGTGGATTTTTTTTTGGGGGGGATTTGTCCGGGGGGATTTTGTCCTGGATTCATACTGCTGACAGACCTTGAAACGTGAACATGGTAAGCCGGGATTCGAACCCATGATCTTAGCTTTCTGGATGGTGTGCGGACATAAACCCCTGTGGACGAAAGCCCCCAAGGACAAAAAAAATTAGAACAAATAAACCCATCATGTAGGACAAAAAACCCAAATAATAAAGACTGTTTATTATTCAAATATTTTATTTAGCCAATATCACATATAATGTGTACTGTCAACACAACCTGATGCTATGTCTCACACCGATAGAAAGTCTATGGAGATGTTAGCATCTCTTCGATCTGAACATGGGGAATGTATGACTTTCTAGTGCTCTTCTTGGTATCCATATAACCTTCATAGCTTCACTTGACACCACCCTTATTATTCTACAATATGCCATGCTGGGATGCTACTGCCTGCTTAGTTTATGGAGCATATATTTATAGTGAGTTGAAATACTTAATAATGTGTACATATATAAATACTAAGTTGATTAATTAAACTTTTCATACACTATTACTGACTCATTCAAAACATGTCACTTAAGTCAATCACTCCATACTTAAAACATGTTTGGGGGATTTGTCTAAAGGTCCTCATTTATTTTTTATTGTCCTTATGGGTTTTTGTCCTATAATCTTCTGGATAGTGTTCCCCCACTAGTTCAGGCACTTTTTCAATTTTAGTTCAATAAGATTTTGCTTGACATATTTTAAACTAAAAACTGCAGAATCATCAGTAGTTACTTGTGTATGTTCACATTAGCTATGTTACTTGTGTATGTTCCCGGAGCGATGGGGTAGCCTAGTGGTTAAAGCGTTGGCTCGTCACGCCGAAGACCGGGTTCGCATCCCCACATGGGTACAATGTGTGAAGCCCATTTCTGGTGTTCCCGCGCCGTGATGTTGCTGGAATATTGCTAAAAGCGGCGTAAAACCAAACTCAGTCAGTCAGTCAGTGTATGTTCCGGCTATTACAGTTTCCCAGACTCTCACATTTGTTTTTGATTCGGATTAGAATTGGTACTCAGTAACCCATGCTTGTAGTAAAAGGCGACTAACGGAATCGGGTGGTCAGACTCGCTGACTTGGTTGACACATGTCATCGTATCCCAATTGCATAGATCAATGCTCATGCTGTTGATCACTGGATTGTGTTATCCAGACTCAATTTACAGACCGTGTCATGTAGCTGGAATATTGTTTAGTGCGGTGTTAAACAACCAACAGACAATCCCAGTTTGACATAATCGAAGACATATTGATGTCATTCCAGGATTTCCTGCAAAAGCTGTGTGGATAGGCGGCTATCGTCATCCCTTCTGGCGCCGATGGACGTGGGTAGATGGGTCCGCTTTTCAGTATCAGTCTTGGATTTCATCCTTTCCTTTGGATGAACAACATCGGACAAGCATCTCCATGGTCAACCTATCCGGCTCCTCGGCGTCGAACGGGTGGCTGTGTCGGAACGAGACACCTGATTGGTACTTTGCCTTTATTTGCGAGATGAAGTCTTCCGATTCTTAAATTACAAAATGACAATATAGATACTGTTCTTTGAAATATGCTTGTGTTTTGTTTAGTTCGTATACAACGAAATCTTGTTATGTTTTTTGTCGACATTTAAAAGTTTTACCTGTTACTTCTACTGAGAAAATAAGAGTAATTATGAAAGTTTCATGAAATTCATCAAATTTTGATAAAATAATTGAAAGAATTGATAAATACATTGGAATTTCGAAAAATGCAAATAATTGATAAGAGAAATTGTGATAAACAGTAGAGTTATGCTACCAAAGGGGGACAATTAGTCTCCCTGCTCATCTCAAATGCAGGATACTGAGTGGCAGAGCCCCCATACACAACTAAGACACACCCCCCAAAAAAAACCCAAAAACCCCAAAAACCTAATAAAAGAAAATACACCCCAAAAACAAACATAATCAAAACAACATACAAAAATAAAATCTTACCCCCCCAAAAAAAAAGAAAGAAAGAAAAGAAACCCCAACATACATTAAAAAAGAAGAAGGAAGGATCCATCAAATAACCCCAAAACAAACCCAAACCCCAAAACAAACCAAAAACACCCCCCAAAACTCCTGAACTATAACAAAAAGCCCGCCAAGAAATCCACCCAAAAATCAGCCCAACAAAGGTTGTGTTTCATATAGATTTTATTAATAACCATTGACATACGATACATACCGATCCCTCTGTGTAATACACACATACAGACATGATGAAAATATGAGCGATTTCTGACCAGAAACATGAATTCTCATCAAAATACATCTAAAACAATTAACAACCATAAAATATACATCTGTCATTAACATCGGATGACATCAATACACGAGATTGTTTTCTTCCTGTGATTTAAATCAATAAACATGACCCATGTTTCTTTGTGAAGGTATCATATTTCCTCTATTAAATGCCACGGTATCTGTTAAGTTTCACAAGCCACTGACCCAGTGTACAGTCTTTCACAGAAGAATCTGATCACTTTATCAAATCTCCAAACCATGAACCCTTGACAGACCGTTACTTCAGACAAGATGTTAGAGTGAGTGAGTGTAATTTTACGCTGCTTTTAGCAATACTCCAGCAATATCACTGTGGGGGACACCAGAAATGGGCTTCACACATTGTACCCATGTGGGGAATTGAACCCGGGTCTTCGGTGAGACGAGCGGACGCTTTAAACATTACTCTACCCCTCCATCCCTGGTGATGTTAGAAGTTAAAGGGAGTAATCATTGTAAGGTAATGTAACAGGGACCATTCATTTCATCAATTGATGGATCCAGGTCCCTCTTTTCCAGACCCAGCTATTAAAAATCAGAATGACCGAATAACCAAGTATCAGTGTCAGGCCTGCATGTTCAGGGGTTCATGGTCTTTTAGAGGAAATATGTCACCTCACCATTCAACAATTTAAATGATTAGCCAAAACAATAACGATTAAAAAACTAAACAGCATGACTACTTTCTGTTACAACACAACATACAAACCAGTAGACTCAGTCCATTCCCAAACTTTCTAACCTGGCATTAACTGAACAGATGTAACCATGGTAACAGGTTACTGTGTTATATTTGCTAGGCAGTGATAAAAGTTACTAGCCTCGGGCCTCAGGCCAGTGGTGAAAGGCACGGACATAGACAAGAACGCCTACAAATTTTCACCATTTCAACGTGAGACATGCAGACTTCAGCAACAGTAACACAATTCTATCTGAGTCGGAATCCTTGGAATAAGCATCAATTTAGGCTCAGCATTAGTATGTCTCACAGTCCCTGAACCACATTATTTTCCCTACTGCCAAGCCCTCTCTGCAGTGCTAAAGCCCTAAATAAAGCAAGTCTAGATTTCCTCAGGTTCTGAATCTCTGGTCTCCCTAGGGCTCCTTTTCAATTTAAATGGGCTTGTTTGTTGCTATCAAAATTATATATATTCAGAGACTAAGCCTTATTCTAGTTCAGGATTTCCAGAAGCAATCATTTACTGGACTGAGTGAGAAATTGAGTTTATGTTTACGGTGCACTCAGCAATATTCCAGCTATGTGGCAGTGGTCTGTAAATAATCGAGTCTGGACCAGGCAATCCAGTGATCAACAACATGAGCATCCATCTGCACAACTCAGATACAATGACATGTGTCAACCAGGTCAGCGAGCCTGACCACCCGATCCGTTAGTCACCTCTTACGACAAGCATGGGTTGCTGAAGATTACTTCTCAGCCGGATCTTCATGGGTCCACTTACTGGAATATATGAGTTCTGAAAATGATGCTTCTAGAAGTCAACAAGTTGCTTTTCTCCTTTCAGTGAAAACTTTTGTATGTCTTTTAGATCTGACTGATCAAACAATCCACCGCAAATGAAACTCCAAACTGTCGTATGAGTGAGTGAGTTAGTCTTATACTGCTTTTATGGACACCAGAAATGGCCTTCACACATTGTACCCATGTGGGGAATTGAACCTGGGTCTTTGACGTGACGAACGAACGCTTTAACCACTAGGCTACCCCACCACCCAATGACAAATGTAAGTGATGGGTCCTATGTAGATTTTACCACTTTAGTAAATCCACAAGCCTAATATAACTATGATGTTAAGTCTACCTTGATTCCAACGATCAGCAGATCCTGGCACAGCCAAGGTACTGCATGCAATTCATTAACAGCAGGCAAACCGGAATGTCTTATTGCAAGCACCCACAATAAAGGCTTTTGTAGAAGAACTAAACTTAAAACAAAACAACCACATAGTAATTTACCTTCAATCTCTTATTCCACTGAGACAGTGTAATTGAAGCACAATTTATCTAATTACAATCTATAATAAGCAACATAATGTCAGAATATTTTCAAATATTGAAAAGTTCTGATAAAAACGTTCTGTCGAACTACTGGCTAAAGACCAGTATTCTGATCACAAAAAATCAGAGATCATGAAAATTTAGGGGGAAATCCTTTCAAAATGACTTTCCTTAAATATGTAGGGCATATAAAAAATATTCCATGATCCCTAATTTTTTGGCTCAGTATACATTACTTTCCATGTCACATAATTGATAGCATTAATACATAAAATGTGCACATGAAAACCCAATTCCATCAAACAGATTATTCACTCTAAGATTGTTTTACCTATGACCCAATTCACTGTTCCCTTAAAACCATGTAGGACCACAGCTTATAACCTAAAACATAATGTAAGACTGTTATCCACAAACAAAACATGCACAAAACAACGCTCTGTAGCGGAATGTATGGAAGAATTCAACTTGGACATCGGTCAGTTATGGCAGGTTGGGAAGAGTGAGTGAATGAGTTTGGTTTTACGCAACTTTTAGTAATATTCCAGCAATATCACGGTGAGGGATACCAGAAATGGGCTTCACACATTTTACCAATGTGGGAATCGAACCCGGGTCTTCGGCCTTCAGCGTGATGAGCGAATGCTTTAACAGGCTAGCCTACCACTGTTATAATAATATACTGAATATAACTAGAAATGGCCTAAAGCCATACTCAATCTCTGTAACTGAAGGAGGGTACTTTAATAGCTAAGTATCATCTCTCATTCAATGTCATATAGAGTGAGTGAGTGAGTTTGGTTTGACGCTGCCTTTAGCAATATTCCAGCAATATCACAGTGAAGGACACCAGAAATGGGCTTCACACATTGTACCCATGTGGGGAATCGAACCCGGGTTTTCGGCGTGACGAACGGAACGCTTTAACCACTAGGTTCCCCTACCGCCCACTGTCATATACAAGTAGTACGAGCATGTCAGTAATAGATATGACTTCACAGCTCAAGGGTAGGGAGACTCAGTCTGTGGGATATTATCTAATGCTTCAGGCAACAGGATTAACACAAACCCAGTGATCAACATCATGGGCATCGTTCTACGAAATTGGGATACAGTGACATGTGTCAGCCAAGTCAGCGAGTCTGACCACCCGATCCCGTTAGTCGGTTGCTGAAGACCAATTCTAACCTGGATCTTCACAGCCCAAGGGTAGGGAGAGTAGGGCTGTGGGGTATATCATAATGCTTTAGGCAATAGGATAAAAGCACATCAAAGGCAAGGGTAAAAGGAAGACATTACTGGGAAACAGAAACCTGATTCTGGTTGCTATGACTACAACTAGTTTGGCACTGCACTACAAAAATACTGATGCTTCTACAAGTTTGATATTGCGCTATAATCTCATTCGTACTGTGGAAAAACATAAGAAGGGATTGGCTGCTAAGTGCATTATTTAACACCGTAGTCAGCAATATTGCAGCTATACTGCTGGAACTGACCAGGCAAACCAGTGAACGACAGCATGAACAACACACTGGGTTAAAGTGACAATCAGTCTGTCCATCCAATCTCCATTTCAGCTGGCTTCTAGGCACGACTGTTTGATATCTTGGGTGGGGGCCTCTGATTATACTTGACATTTTTCAGCCACGACAGCATGAACAAAACACCACACTACTGGCTTATCGGACACATATTCCATCTGTCCATCCAATCCCCGTTTCAAGTGGCCCTAGGGACGATTATTCGATATTTGGCGTGGGGCCCATGATTACCTACTTGACATTTTTCATCTACAGCTGTGAACCAGATATTGTATGCATATATTATTAATATATTTTTAAATAACTGCTATGCGCCTAATATTTATCTTTTACATGCATTTTGTAACAATGTATTCCATGGCAACAGACATTCTTTCTTATTTGACAGTCTGAAACATTATAATTTTTCTCGATTATGAAAAAACAAACTTTTTGGCGATTTGTTTTGGATAAAATTCCAGGCTACCTCAGAATATGAAATAGTTGGGCCCCTGAAGCCTGGTTGGTTAGTCAAGCCATATTGCAGCAGTGTGTAATTGATCAAGTCTGGAGCAGGCAAACCAATAAATGACAGCATGAGCATCAAACCATGCCATAGTGTAACATTGAAACACACATCCTGACACATTTAGTCAATGGGCTTTGTGACAGTCAGGGCTCCAGATAAGGGCTGTATCGGCGTATGTACGG